GGGGGGGGGGAATAGGCTCAAGATCCCCCCCCCACTGTGCACCCTCCTCCACCGTCAGGCGGATCCTCCCTGCCCTCAGGGTATGAAACCCTCTTGGGGAAGCCCGGTCCACAGCGCCACCCTTCACCTTTCTCCCTGCACGGGCGAGGTCCCTTCCCCACTCCTGTTTCACGCCCTGGGGTGGGGTTTCTTACCAGTCTCCCCCCCCACTCCTGTTCTGCCACCTGGAGGGGCATTTGTCTCCCTTCTCTCCTGCTCTCTGGGAAAAGAGAGATTCTCCTAGAGGAGGGGACGAGCCCCCTGCCTCCGCAGGGGTGAATGGTTGCTACCCCCCCCCCAAAAGCACACTGGAGGTGGGGCAGGGCGGGCAATTTCTCCCCCCTTGGAGTTCCATGCTGGAGGCCTGTTCCTGGGACGGCCCTTCACTCCCATTGACTTGAATGAGCAGAGGGTACTGGCGTGGGCCGGGCATTCGGGGCAAGGCTGCAGCTCAGGGGCTCTTCTCTCTCCGGCTCAGGTGAGGAGCTGCCTTTGCCACCTTCACTTTCACTTTGCCCAGCCCCAGGAGCTGTGGCTGGACTTTGCCCTGATAAAGCTGCCCTCTTGCCAGCACGTAGCTGCTCCCTCTGGCTGCCCTCGCCGGGGGCCTGGCCGACCATCACGCGCGTGGGATGAGTCAGCGCCTTGCCGCACTGCGTGCGCTGAGGGCCAGGTTAACGATTCCCGCGCCGAGAAAGCGTGGCTCCGTCTGCGGCGGCTCCCCCAGCCCTCGCTAGCCCAGGGAAGGCGCCTGCCATGCAGGGCCGACTTATCCAGTAGGCACAGTGCCTAGGGCCCACGGTACTTTTAGGGGCCCAAGCAAATGTTTTAATTTCTTTTAAAATCAGATGAAAAAAAATGAACGTTTAGGGTCGAAGACCATGTTTTAATTTTTTTTCTCACCTCAGAGAAAAAAATGAAACTTTTAGGGCCCCCGAAAATCTATTACATTTTGCCTAAAACAGGAAGAAAAAAAAATGTTGAGGTATTTAAAGTTATATCAAAAATAATTGTTAATATTGAGATTATTATGGTGGGAGGGGCCCACGAAGGCAAAAGTGCCCACGAAAGTCATAATGCGGCCCTGCTGCCATGGCTCCCAGCCAGAACCGGGCCGGGGGGCTGGGCTCCCTCCTGCCTGGGTCTGACGGTGAGGGACGGAGGGACCAGTCTGGAGCAAGGCGTACGGGACCGGCCTTTTCTGCACATTGCATCTCTCTGGGAGCTCGCGGGGGAAAGGGAGGTGGGTGTGAGAGAGCACTGGTTTTATGGCAGCCCAGCTCTGCCCCAGAGCTGCCGTGAGCATGTGCAGGGATGAAATATTCATGTGGGCTGCGAGCCACAGGGTATCTCCAGCTCCCAGCAGCCTGGAGGCGGCTTATAAGGCAGACGGGCTGCTGTGTGTTTACATCCATATGACGAGGGTGTCTTGCAGCCATTGGGAACACACGAGGGACCCTGCCCCGGGCCTGGGCCCCTTGTTTCCCTGCTGCTGAATCGGGGTGGAGGGGAGGCAGCTTTCTCTGTTGCTTTCTCTGGGCTCCCCAGTCTTCCCAGAGCAGCTTGAGTTTCTGGTGGGTGTGTACACGTAGCTGTGGTGAGTTGTTGCCGCTTGGGACTGGATAGTTGGAAACGGGCCATGGCTTGAGGATGCTTGTTTCATTAGCTGTCAGTGCTGCGGCAGGCAGCGTTGTAGGACAGAGATCTGTACTGAGCACACGGGGGGCCAAGGTTACTGCAGAGACTGTGTCTAGCCACCAGCCATCAGGGAGAGGCTGAGGGAGTTGGGTCTATTTACTCGGCAGAAGAGAAGAGTGAGGGGGGATTTGATAGCAGCCTTCAACTTCCTCCAAAGAGGATGGAGAGAGGCTGTTCTCAGTAGTGACAGATGGCAGAACAAGGAGCAATGGGCTCAAGTTGTGGTGGGGGAGGTCCAGGTTGGACATTAGGAAAAACTATTTTCCTAGGAGAGCGGTGAAGCACTGGAATGGGTTAGTGGAGTCACCATCCCTAGAAGTTTTTAAGTCCTGGCTTGACAAAACCCTGGCTTGGTTGATTTAGTTGGGATTGGTCCTGCCTAGAGCAGGGGGCTGGACTTGATGACCTTCTGAGGTCTCTTCCAGCTCTATGGTTCTATGATTGTATGATCAGCTTACATCCCTGAGCTCCAGGTGTCACCCCAAATTAGTTCCCCCCCGAAACGTCAGCCCTCCTTTCTCCAGTCTCATGCACCCAGGTGAGCTCAAAATTCCCAGCGCCGCCCGGCCCACCACCTCTGGGGCTGGCAGTCTCAGCAGGGAGGCTACAAATGAAATGGGTCACGAAAACTGACCTCCGGTGTCTCCCTCTCCCCAGAAATGTGATCCCCGTGGGTAAGCCCCGGGGATGGGACAGGAGACGCTTGCATTGTTCTGGGCACACATTGGCAGATGTCATTAGAGATGAGCATGTGCCTGGATCCAGATGGAAAGATTTGGGGTGGCCAGAGCCAGGATTTTGGTTCAGCCCATCAAGACAGCTGCTAAGTTAGGCTCTGGACTTTGCCCCTTCCCCCGAAGACTGGGGTGTTTGGAAGGAGCCGGTCCCTAGCTCTAACGGTCGCTGCTTCACGAGGGTAACAGGTAGCTGCATCACCAGAAATAACTTGTCTCATTCTGAGAGTGAACGGTGGCTAGTTGCAGGAAAGAAAGCAGCTGGTTATAGCCTTCCTGGTGAGTGGCCACAGGAGGAAATAGTGAAGAGGAAGAAGAATCCGTGTGTGTGTGTATATGTGTGTGTGTGTATGCATGCGCAAGTGGGGGGAATGTCACAAAGCCCAGTCATTCTAAGTTCCCCTAAAATTTTGTGATACATAGAAACTCCTACACAGCCCCTTTTATAGCCACTTCTTACACTGCTCCCAGTGCCCTCTACTTCCACACCCAGTTGCTGTTCATGATCATCTATTATATATTTTTAAGAGTTTGTGCATCTGTCAGTCTGTGTGTCCATCCATCCGTCTGTGAGGCCGTTTGTTCAAGGACCCCTCAACGGTAAGAGCTAGGAGCACCAAATGTGGTACGCAGCTTCCTCATCTCCTAACTTCAAGCGAGTTCAGGGTTTGGTTGTGCCAGAACAATGGGATGTGCTGGAATGTGATGGTTTCTCATCAAAACCAGACGACTGGGCAACAAAATGGCAGATGAATTTTAATGTTGATAAATGCAAAGTAATACATATTGGAAACCATAATCCCAACTATACACATAAAATAATAGGAACAATTTAGCTGTTACCAGTCGAGAGAGATCTTGGAGTCATTGTGAATAGTTCTCTGAAAACATCCACTCAATGTGCAGCAGCAGCCAAAAAAGCAACCCGCATGTTAGGAATAATTACAAAGGGACTAGACAATGAGAGAAAATATCTTATTGCCTCTGTTTAAATCCATGGTATGCCATTGTATGCCCACATCGTGAATACTGCATACAGATGTGGTCATCTCATCTCAAAAATGATATCTTGGCATTGGAAAAGGTTTAGAAAAGGTCACCAAAAATGATTAGGAGTTTGGAATGGCTGCAATATAAGGAGAGATTAATAATACTGGGACTTTTCAGATTAGAAAATAGGAGACTAAGGGGGAATATGACAGTGGTCTATAAAATCATGACTGGTGTGGAGAAAGTCAATAAGGAAAAGTTATTTACTTGTTCCCATAACACAAGAACTAAGGATCACCAAATGAAATTAATAGGTATCAGGTTTAAAACAAGCAAAAGGAAATATTTCTTCACACAACACACAGTCAACCTGTGGAACTCCTTGCCAGAGGATGTTGTGAAGGCCAGGACTATAACAGGGTTCAAAACAGATACATTCATGGAGGATAGGTCCATCAAGTGTCTCTAGCTTCTGTCATAAGTTGGGAATA